CCAATGTACACCCAAGCATAATGTATGATGATACATGCCACTTCTTCCCTTTTAAAGATTATGGAAACTCCTGGTGGATGATATGAATTATTTTTTGATGAAGTGAAGAAGGTAATTTATTTAAAAATTTATGTCATTATTTCTTAGCCTTTTGCTGTACCATTACTATATTCATTATTTTGGGAAGTAATCAGAGTGCTTAACATTTAGTATTGTTTTCAGTAACTTAGAAGACAAAGTAAAGTGTCATAGTGGTGGAAGAGCCAGAGCTGTTGTTAAATTTTAATTTAATTTCATTTCATTTCATTTCATTTCATTTATTTCATTTTATTTTGTTATATAGAAAAGACAATGCAACATGATCTTCATGGACCCAAGCCCCATTGCTCTTTGTGATGTTTGAACACAGAAAGGAAAGACGGTCTCTGTAAGAAAGGAATTAAAAACCTTTAAAGCACCTGAATCTCTAGGATTATGTTTTCTTTGCTTTTTGTAAGCCAGAGGAGATGTGAGCAGGTACTCACCAGGTTGGAGAGGAAGGCAGCCATGTCCTTTGAATGAGCCAGTGCCTGCTGCTCACTGCTGCTACCTGCCAAGGAGCCAAATGCTCACATGATGCAGCAGCAGTGTCACTGAGCCAGCCCCATGTTACACAAGTTAAATTTTACTTCAGAGGGTTTTGAGTTAATTGCACATATTCCAGCTGTCGTACAAAGTTTAGGGTTGCTGGATTAAATATTTCAACCAATGATTGTGTGCAAGTGAACAGGATGGTGGCCCTTGCAGGAGCTGGGTGCTTCATGAACTCTGCCTTCTGCTAGGGGACAGGGGACTGAGAAAACAGCCTTCAACAGGATTCCCATCATCATGACCTGCTCAGTTTTCAATATAAGTGAGAAACTTAGGGTTCTTTTTTGGGAATCTTAGATGGGGCTTGGGCAGTGAACTGCAGGACTTTGGTATGTCACAGGGAAGAGCTGTTCTCTCTCCAGGTGATGGCAACTGGAGCACATCGTGACTTAATCATTACTGGAAGGAACTGAGCTACTCCATGATTTTGAAATGGGGTGCAAATTTAATAATTCTACACTGGTACATCAGGCTTGACCAGCCAAGTGTTTATAGAAGATTTTTCTTTGCTGGTAGTGAGAAAGATTCATCATGTGCTCTTTTGTGGCATTTCCACTAGTCAGTGCACTTATTTCTGTGTCTGCAATGAAAAATAAGGTTCTTTTGAGGCTGTAACCTCCACAGCTGGATTGATGCCTGTTTTTTCTGAGAGAAAATTCTCAGGCTTTAACTGCAGTTATTTCACAATTAAGAGGAATGTATTCATTCAAGTTTTAGTTATCACTTGCCATTTACACTTCAGTTGAAGGAGAGGATGAAGAAATCATAAAGGGTTTAGTTGATGCCAGCAGTCATATTTACTAGAAAATATTTCATATGCAAAGAATATTCCTGGGTTCCCTACTAATGTTTGAAATGTGGTGTATGGCACCACCCAGCCAATTCTCCTGCCACTCTTGGGTCTCATCATGGCCTTGACTTTGCTGTTGGTTTGTGCTGAGTTCATGGAGGGATTTTTTCAGTTGAGGTTCTCCAGCAGATAAGCTGTTGTGGAGTGCAAATGAGACTGTCCCTTTGATGCTAAGAATTTCCTTTTCTGTAAAATTATACAAAGCTGAAACCACATGATGTGCCTCTGACTAAGGGACAAAATTCCATGTTAGCTGCTGGAATCTGCCTTGCTCAGATGATAATGGGGGGACACACAAACAGGCAATAACATGTGGACTTCAGCATGGTGCACTCAAATGCAGCCTGTTGCACCTATTTCCTAATGTTTTACTTCACCCACTTCTACCTTGTGTATTTATACATATTGGAAGTTACACTTTTTGCTCAGACTTTAATTTAGAATTCCTACTTTGGGTAGGTTGAATCTCATAACTCTTGCTGTGTGATGTCTTTTGCATTTATGGTGATTAGTGACTGTACTTGCTTGCTGTTACTGCTCAGATTGTTCTGAGACCCCCTTTATCAGATGTGCAGCTCCATGATATCTTACAGATATCCTTCAGTCACATTGTGGAGAGCCTGGTTCAAGCATGGCTNGCTGATATACATCTGTGTTTCTTGTCTTCATGGGCTGAGTGAGGTTGGCACAGACATTGCCAGGGGTACCAGGTTAGCACAGGCATTGCCAGGGGCACCAGGTTAACACAGACATTGCCAGGGGCACCAGGTTAACACAGACATTGCCAGGGGCACCAGGGGTACCAGGTTAGAACAGACAATGCCAGGGGTACCAGGTTAGCACAGGCATTGCCAGGGGCACCAGGGGTACCAGGTTAGCACAGACACTGCCAGGGGTACCAGGTTAGCACAGGCATTGCAGGGGTACCAGGGGTACCAGGTTAGCACAGGCATTACCAGGGGTACCAGGTTAGCACAGACAATGCCAGGGGTACCAGGTTAGCACAGAAATTGCAGGGGTATCAGGGGTACCAGGTTAGCACAGGCATTACCAGGGGTACCAGGGGTCCCAGGTTGGCACAGACATTGCCAGGGGTACCAGGTTAGCACAGGCCTTGCCAGGGGTACCAGGGGTACCAGGCTAGCACAGGCATTGCCAAGGGTACCAGGTTAGCACAGGCATTGCCAGGGGCACCAGGGGTACCAGGTTAGCACAGACATTGCAGGGGTGCCAGGGGTACCAGGTTAGCACAGGCCTTGCCAGGGGTACCACGGGTACCAGGTTGGCACAGACATTGCCAGGGGCACCAGGTTAGCACAGGCATTGCCCCAGGGGTACCAGGGGTACCAAGTTAGCACAGACATTGCCAGGGGCACCAGGTTAGCACAGGCATTGCAGGGGTGCCAGGGGTACCAAGTTAGCACAGACATTGCCAGGGGCACCAGGTTAGCACAGGCATTGCCAGGAGTACCAGGGGTCCCAGGTTGGCACAGACATTGCCAGGGGTGCCAGGTTAGCACAGGCATTGCCAGGGGTGCCAGGGGTACCAGGCTAGCACAGGCATTGCCAGGGGTGCCAGGGGTCCCAGGTTAGCACAGGCATTGCCAGGGGTGCCAGGGGTCCCAGGTTAGCACAGACATTGCCAGGGGTCCCAGGTTGGCACAGACATTGCCAGGGGCACCACGTTAGCACAGGCATTGCCAGGGGTACCAGGTTAGCACAGGCATTGCCAGGGGCACCAGGGGTCCCAGGTTAGCACAGACATTGCCAGGGGTACCAGGTTAACACAGACATTGCCAGGGGTACCAGGTTGGCACAGACATTGCCAGGGGTCCCAGGTTAGCACAGGCCTTGCCAGGGGTACCAGGTTAGCACAGACATTGCCGGGGCACCAGGGGTCCCAGGTTAGCACAGACATTGCCAGGGGTACCAGGGGTACCACGTTAGCACAGACATTACCAGGGGTACCAGGTTAGCACAGGCATTGCCAGGGGTCCCAGGTTGGCACAGACATTGCAGGGGTCCCAGGTTAGCACAGGCATTGCCAGGGGTGCCAGGGGTACCAGGTTAGCACAGGCATTGCCAGGGGCACCACGTTAGCACAGACATTGCCAGGGGTACCAGGTTTGCACAGGCATTGCCAGGGGCACCAGGGGTCCCAGGTTAGCACAGGCATTGCCAAGGGTACCAGGTTAGCACAGGCATTGCCAGGGGTACCAGGTTAGCACAGGCATTGCCCCAGGGGTACCAGGGGTACCAGGTTGGCACAG